ACAGGCTTCATCTGGGGGCCTGGAAGTTAAAACGTCTCGATTAGCCCATTAGCCCGTCTAGGATGTCCCTATGAAGTGTTATGAAACATTTATTATCACCCCAATTTTTTTGGAAAATATGGGGCCATGTCAGGTAAATAGTAAAATAGCAAAAAGTTTTCCTGGCACAATCACAAGTTAGCATGTAAAAAAAAAAAACTTGTCTCACCGCTAAGGTTAAAAACAGAGGAGATTTAGATACACGTCTTCTGCAGAAAATGTGAAAGCCGCACAGCCGCGCCAAGGCACCTCTATATAGTGCGGTCCTAATTCTAAACTATGAGAGTCTCCCTCTTGGAGCACATGGGGCAGAAGATAAAATTGGGTGCAGGTTTGTCAGGAGGAAGCCCAACCTCCCTTAAAAAGGCACAGGGACGCACAAGGGATCCCACACATCCCAATGGCAGCCGAGACCCCCCATGCATCACTGCACCAAAACAGTCAAGCAAAACAAATGAAAAACGCACTGCGAGTGTGCCAGGAAAACTTTTTGCTGTTTTCCTGTTTAAAGCCCATTCCGTGTGCACCTTGCTGTATAGCTGGTGACGAATTGTTGAGTGCGTTTGTCATCTGTTTTGCATGTCAGGTAAATAGACACCAAACATGTGAAGCCGTAAAATTGCGCGCGCGAAGTCGCAGAGAATGACCACACCCAAAATTGGCCATAGGCGACGCTTTTACCGCTCATCAGTTTAGTGTTATCAGTGATTGATGGCCCTAAAATTATTGCTCTCAGTCAGACGTTCGCAGTGATATGCAACATGTGCGGCGTAATCGTCGTTTTCGCACATAGGCGCACCCAACGCATATTTGCGTGTGTGTGTGTGTGGGACGACGACGACGACTTTAAAGCTGCTTTATCAGCTTCTGTACTGAAGAGTGACAGAGGAATGCAGGAGTTATGTAATATACATCACTTCCTGCATTCGGGGAGAGGAGATCAAAGTGAGATCATGAACTGTTCATAAGCATTTGAAATATCTTAAACCCCTTTAAATTTCAATATCACTTTAACCCTTGCTGTGTGGGGGTAGCGCCACTGGAAGGGTTAAGAAATTGTTTTCCCCGGAGTTCTTCTTTAATATCAGTGATGTTAGATGGGCCTCATATCTGTTGGTTGTCCAGTTTGGTAAAACCTGCATGAAAATACATCTTCTGAAGTCCTTCTTCCCCACTTGGGATTTGCATTTGGAGCGGACAACATGTGGAGCAGCTGTGCATGGCAACCAATCGACTTCTATATTTTAGTTTGTTCAGTTAAGGTTTGAACATGAAAAAGAGAAAAGCTGAACGGTTGCCATGCACAGCTGCTCCACATTTTGTCTGCTCCAGTTTTGATAAATTCCCTTCCATGTATATTAAAAAGGAGAACTATGAGGTGAGTGCTTTTCACTCAGCCTCATAGTTCTAGCCGACCTGTGACAATTAAACTGTCACAAGTCGGCTCAATAGATCGGGAAGTGAGCGAACACATACCGTCGCTCGCTCAATTCTCCCTGCAGAGAACTGTGACTGTCACTCACGGCTCCCTACAGGGATTACCCCCCTCCCCTGTCCGATCCTCCAGCGCTGACTGGCGGAACGGACGGGGGAGGGTACAGCTGGCTCTGCCTCTAGATAGGCAGAGTCAGCTGTCACTCACGCAGCTGGGTGGATCACGACAGTAATGTCGGGATCTGTCCCGGCTATGGCGTCTCAGTATACCGCGAGCTATGAGCTTTGGGTGACGGGAGGATGCTAGTTTCTGTCCTCCCGTTACCCTTAGGAGAACTATGGGGAAAAGCCTTAACCCCATAGTTCTCCTTTAAAGAACAAACCAAACTCCCCTTTTCTTACTTGAATCTGTGGTCATTTGACAGACCCGGTTCTGAATCTTCAGCTGTTTGCATCACTGCCTGGGTGATGTGGCCACTTCCTATTGACTATCCAAGGGTAGGGGTCCTCACATGCTCCAGACGACTACAGATACAGAGGCATGAGGGCATTACAAAGAGGTGACCGGGACTGGGGTAAAGGACTGTAGCACTGCTCTCCCACTCACTCCTACAAAAGGTCCCTGTGCGATATAGGACGGTGGACTTAGGTGAATATAAAAGGGGCTTGCAAGTAACATTTTAAAGAAAAAAGTACAAAGTGGGTGATGGGAGGGGGTAAATGATTGTCCTTAGCGAGCGGCCTAACCGCTCCTCACACATTCGAGATCTAGACCTTTCACACCCACTAAATCCTGATACATTTCCCGCACTAACGCATTCACTACAAAAATACATCCCTCTGATATAGTTGCTCTGGTCTTATTCCTATCCATATCTTCTGGTTTTAATTTGCTTTGTATATTTTGTTATGTACCTTGATATGTATCATTTGGTATCAATCCAACTTCTGAGTTATGACAATATGTGATTCAGTGTATACGATGAATGCCATGTAATTCATGCCTGGATTTATTACTGCATCACCTGTATTTAAGCTCAAATTCTTTCAATAAACAATATTGCTAAAAAAAAAAAAAAAAGATTGTCCACAGATGGGCTCTAAAGGAGGAACTGAACTCTGGAAACTTTATGCAAAAAAAAAAAAAAGGCAGACAGAGGGCAAAGTGCTAGTCACTAGTATTGCCTGTGGTCTCCCTTTTACTTGCTTCTTCTGCGCTGTGCCTCTGTGTGAAGGCCACAATCTAGGTGATGTTTTGCTTCCTCATATATGAGACTCCAGCAAGGAGAACAGTAGCAACATCACCAAATGCCACTCCAAAATCACCCGAGACTGACATACCGGGAAGAGCATTGCAAAGTTCAGGAGGAATTCCAGATAAAAAAGGTACATTTTTCAGGGAACTGCTCAGGCACAATTAAAGTTGTGTTACTCTCAAAATGTTTTTCAAGATGGAATCCAGATCAAACAAATACACACTGGCCAGCAAAGTATTTTTAAACTTTTTGCCCAAGCACTTGTAGTCATCATGTTTCCAAACAGCTCCAACTCTTAGTTCAGCTTCTCTAAACTTCCTGTCCAGTACAAAGGACAGAGCAGTCTCCATCTACTAGTTTGGAGAAAGAAGGGGGGGGGGAGGGAAGAGACTCAATACGGTGGTCCACAGCTTTGGACATCTCTCAGCCTGTGATTGGTCAGTGAAGGAACAGCTGCAGACTGAAGTGGTTATCTCACTTCTCATTAGCATTCAAATGATCCAAATGCTCCTCTGCAGTTTCCGTGCCCCTGAACACCCAGCGGCTCCACATGCAGTCCATTCTCTGCTTAACAAGCAATCCCGGTAGAGAGGAGAGAAGCCACATTCCAAAATAAAGGCCGATATAGATGTTTATTATGGTGCAAATAGCAAAACCACCTGAACCTCCACCCTGTGACGCATTTAGCTATTTTGGAGAGGTTTAATTTTTAAGTGCTTATTCTTTTTTCCCCGCTCCTCTGACCAGATTCCTTCTTCACAGATGCATACAAACAGAGACCCAATGCCCACAGCCTTCTGCATTTGTTGGTATTGTGCCATGGTCCCCGCCCCTCATAGACTTCTCCAGGGCTCTCCTGCACAGATGTGGCCAGGAGAGAGAAGACTTGCAGCATAGGATGTAAACAAACACAGGAGGCCATGGATCTCAGTAAGCAATGATTACTAAGCATACACCTGTGGAGGGGGAGGGTGGGTGAAACGAATGAGTGCACTATGTCTGAATGTGCACCTATTCGGTAACCTCTACAAATCAGCTCATTGCTGACTGAAACACGTTCAGGCAATTTTGTAATTTGCACCAAATGTGTTTATAAACATCTAAACAGTTTGTATCTTGGATGTATGTGTTTATAAACATCAGCTTGTACCGTATCTTGGAGTGCAAATTTTCCTCTTTCCTACAATGACTTATCAGAATGTTGCCAGCACATGTGCACAGCAGCACTTATGATTGGCTCCTAGTACTGGCCACTCCCCCTCACCGTCTGTGCAGAGGAGGATACTGAGACAGAGAAAAAGTGACATTTGATGTTTTACTTAATAAATTACTGAATTAAATGGTGCTTTTTTCCCACATCCGGAAATATTTATACCTCCTATAGGCACATTTTATTTACAAATACTTTCTGCACTTGGTCAGTTCTTCCCGCAATGGTCAGCTATGGCCTTAGACTGCAATGAAACAGTGCTCCTAGTGGCAATTCACCAAGGAATAGCAGGATGGCGATGAGCTATCACAATGCCGCCGTCCATTACCGGAGAACGGACCCCGCCCGGGGATTGACTGACTACCTCCCGCTACTTACCGCTGCGCCTCCTCTGCCATCCTGTCACCACTTCCCGCGTCCGCGCTTCAAACTCTATTGGTTATCAAAGCCCATAGCTATCGCTCCTATTGGTCGCGGATTTCCTAAATCCCGCCTCTTCCCGTGAAGCCTTGCGCTAAAGGTTTCATAGACTTTCCCGGCGGCCATCTTGGTAGAGGCAAACTATACAGGGTTTCAAATGAAGGGTATGACTTTAATGAGCTATAACAAAATGTCGCCTTCCTTGCTGACTAAAAATTAATAGGAAAATCACCCCGTGTGCTTTAAATTCTGTAACGTTCTAGTTGCTGTCGGGTGGCTGATTAATATCTCTATTCATAATTCGTCATTATTTTCTGTTAAACACATAAATAATTAGGCTTTGTAGACTACAGCAAAATGGTTCCCGTACGTCATGATGGAAAAGGAATGAGCCATCATGTGACAGTCAGGCTGGTTGGCAAGAAGAACCGCCCACTCAGAGGAGCTATTTGCCGGAGACCAGGAGGGAGCTGTGTGATTGGTGGAAGGTTTGACAGCTAAAGGCCCAATAGAATGGGAGGAACCACTAATAATGACATCACCGCAGGAGTCTGGGCGGATGGAGCTTCCGGCGGAGCAGGTTATATGTGCTTATTGGGAATTATTATCGTTGTTATTCCTTTTATTGTAATGTTTCCTTGTCTGATGATGGGGACCTGGACTAACACCCGATGGGTGACCAGTGGGAATAAAGGGGGTGTGATGGTGGCTGCAGTTCCCCATATATGCCCAGCCTCTGTACATTTCTACTACAGGTTCTTTTGTTGTATATTATGGAATATCATTGTTCCTTTATGTGAGCAGTGCCATGTCTCATTGTAATATTATCAATACCTAATGCAAAATTGATATGTGTCCACGATTTCCTTTGATCAGTTATACTGGCCAAAAAATAAAATGATGAACAATAGATTATTTATAGATTCAGATAAAAGGATCTATTACTAATATTTTGGTTACACACTGCATGTGCTGTACTACTGTGGGGGACTTCTGAATCAAGCCTTAAAGTGACACTAAACTCAGGAGTTAAATCTTAAAAATTAATTTAAGTGCCTTAAATATTAAGAAAAATGTATCTTATTTGTGTATCACTGCGCTGTAGATACACAAATCATCTCTGAATTGGTGCTGACACTGTCCTTCCTTCTGGAGGGTGGCTACTTTTGTTCCCCATGGTCCCTGTGTGTGTTGTAAAGTAGCCACTGATCCAAGCTCACTCCTGTGATGGACTACAATCTCATGTTTAGTTCACTCATTTGTATTGAGATTGTAGTCTAAAGGTGCCCATACACTGCTCGATTCTCGTACGAGAATCGCGGGAAATCCCGCGATCGTACGAGAACCGAACAGTGTGAACGAAGACGTGCGACCGTTTCTACTGTACAGTGGCACGTCTTGTGTCTAAGGAGCAGGTTAGAAAACCAGCCGAGAATCGTACGATTTTCGGCTGGTTTGAACGGTGCTCGGGAGACAAATGCCGAACGGGCCGATGTGCACACGCGCACACTGCCCGTTCAGCATTGCGGTCATCGGAAGCCCGCCACTCCGGGGGCGTGCTTGCGATGATGGAGAGTGCGATCTGCCCGTCCAAGATGGGCTGATTGTACGGTATTTTTAATCACTTTACAACCATCGCAAGACTAAGGTCTTGCGATGGTTGTAAAGTGTATGGCCACCTTAACATGGGAGAGAGCTTGGAGCTGTGGCTACTTCACAACACACAGGGACCATGGAGAACAAAAGTAGCCACCCTCCAGAAGGAAGGACATTGTCAGCACCAATTCAGAGATGATTTGAGGATCTACAGCCGAGTAATACACAAATAAGATGCATTTCTGTTAATAGTTGAGGCGCTTCAATGAATAGTTAAGGTTTAACTCCTGAGTTTAGTGCCACTTTAATACAGGGCTGCCCATTAGGTTGATCGCGATCTACCAGTGTATGCAGCGGGAATCCGAGGAAAAGTGAAGCTGCAGTCGGCGGCGGGGGGCGGAGGACGGAGGCACTATCACAGCAGCACGCCGAGCATTGAGAAGAGAGAGAGTCGCTCGGCCTGGATCTGACAGCCGGCGACTCTCTCTCTCCTCACCACACATGCTGCTGTTACAGCAGCTCCGTCCGCTCCCTCCCCCCCCCCGGCGGCTGAAATGCTTCTTTTACTTCTCCTCGGATCTTCCGCTGCCTCTTCTCCAGAGGAGAAGTTGCAGAGTGAGCCCCCCTGTGTGCATGTACCAATCCTCTGTGCAGGACCAACACTGGAGCGATCAGCTGATCACTCCAGTGTTTGTAAATAACTGGGGACACAAAGTACTATGTGTCCCCAGTTATGAATGAACAGGATGTGATTTACATCGTTTCTTGTTCATTCATGAGTTTCTCAATGAAGAGTAGCACTCTGTACAGAGGCTCCTCCCCATTCAGAAACTGGTGATGGTAAATTATTTTCTGAATGAATGGGAGGCCTCTGTGCTTTGCATTCATTTAGAACGGAGGCTGCAGTAAAAGAGATTGAGGAGTTTGTGTCCTCAATTTATTTTTCTATTTTAAAAGGGAAATATCAGGGTGCTGTTTAGACCCCTAATATTTCCCTGAAGCCCCCCCAAGAGTAAAAAAAAAATATATATTAACATTAAAATTTTTTAATTAAATAAGAATACAAAATCCGGGAGGGGGGCGCTGGGTGACGTCACACACCTGTTTTTTTTTCTTGCCATGTGCGCAAAAGGAGCTGGCTGCGGCTATGCTCCCGCGGCTGCCAGCTGAATGTGTCAGACGCCACAGACGGAAAGGGGCGAGACACCTCTCCCCGTGTGCAACGTCGGCCACACGAGCACCGCGGGAGGATAGGACGCCGGCGCCTCTGGAACGTACTGGAATGCGTTCAAGCGTGGAATGTGCAAGCCGGCCGACTCCCTGCGTTCACAGTTCGAACGCCCGCACCCGGAAACGCAGGCACATTAGTGCCTGCATTCTGGTCCAGTGTGATCTGCAAAAATTGTGCTTGCAGCATTTTTGCGGATCACACTGGACCGGAATGCAGGCACTAATGTGCCTGGGTTCCGGGTGCAGGAGATCGCACTGTGGGTGAGGGGCCTGGCTGCGGTGCCATTGACTTCAATGCACTGCCACGCCCCCTCCCGCAGGTGTTTTTTCGTTGGTAGATCTCATCATTTGAAAAGTAAATCTCCAGACGAAAAATTGTGGGCGCCCCTGCTTTAAAACATCTCTATACGATCATCTTTTACTTGTGATAATTGTGTTTGTATGTTGTGTGTACATTGTACAAACAGGACTGACAATGTAATTTTCAGTAATCCTTTTAATCTTTAGGATCTCTACGTCCTGTCAGGCTGAGGAAACCTGTATTTTTCGTGGAATGGCTGCAGTTTGGCAGCAGGTTCTGGCAGTTGATGCAAGGTATTCCGTCTCAAGCACTCCTTTTATAAAGTCATCTACCTGTATTGTGCTCTCTGTGTATTCCGCAATTTAATTTAATTACCATTTGTTTTATTAATGTACAGTGCAGGTCATCGTAGATACAATTTTTTTCTCTACATTAATGAGAACCAGCCATGATGAATACAATTCAAATATTCATTGTTAACTTATTATATACCGCAGCAAACAGGTATCCTTATGAAAGATTTATAAGTGTCCCCTTTTAGCTTTACCTGCTTTGCAAGATAGTAGAGTGGAGCTTCTCCCCTGATGTCTGACAGTTATATTACCAATTGCCTCACCTCGTGCTAGTAAAACATGCTGTTATGCATACAATTATGGAAGTAGAACTGAAGCCAAAATACTTTTTTTTAGCTTGGGATAGAGTAAGGTAGGGTTATAGCCCCTGTCAGCTTTTTAGACATATGTGTCCCATTGGGGAGATTTCCCTTTACTTCTTGTATGATAGCCACAACAGGAAGTGAGAGGAAATCCCTGGTGGTCAGCAGGGTCACTAGAACTATTGGAAGATTTCCCATCTATTCCAGTTCTGATTTTAACCCCAAATGTGGGATTTTCTTTCACTTTCAGTGATAACAGTCACCAGGACAAATAGAGAGAGTGAATCTCCCTAATGGGGGAAACGGACAGCAATAAAAAGAAAAAACTGAAACGTGTTCTAATCCCTCTCCACTCTATCCAAAACTGGAAAAAAAAAAAAGTGGCTTCAGTTGCACTTTAAATAACAGAACCCTGTAGTTGAAGGAAAGTTGAGGTCTTCAACTGTTGATCTGTCCTCAAAGAAAAGCTAACCATCCATGTGTCGTGCTTATCCAATGACTTCAATACCCCGAGCCACTGATCCAGGACAAGTACTAGAATCTTTCATGCTGCATACTTACTCCAGATCAGTGACTCAGAAATGATTGAAGCCAGGCAACTATGACATGGGTTGAACTGGGTGGACCTGTGTCTTTATTCAACCTTAACAACTATGTAACTATCATTTTTACAGAAATATCAGTATTGGCAACGTACATATGTGTCTCAGGACAGATTTCTTTTAAGAACAATGTAGACAAGGCCATTGCCTCATTATTTGATACTTGTATGCATACTCAGCAGCTGGGAGACAACATGTGCTAGAATCTCAGGACAGAAATTTAAAACACGAGAGGACTCCCAGCTCTAAATAAACCTTATCAGATGTTATCTTTAACCACTTCAAGACCAGGTGTTTAGACCCCCTTCCTGGCCAAGCCATTTTTCAGTATTCAGCGCTGCGATACTTTGACTGACGTTTATTCCGTCATTCCCGGGCTCGCACCGGGCACAGCGGAGCTCGGGATCAGCGGGACAACAGCGGGGGGGACCGCGGAGGGGGGGACGACACCCGATCGGCACCCCATACATGCGATCGGCCGGCTCTACAGCCAGCGGATCGCATGTATGTTAACGGGCATCGCTGCCCGTTTTTAAATTTCTGCCATTTCCCGCTCGCCTGGCGGCGCGCGCAAGGGGGCGTGTCTGAGCGGAC